CAACAACAACAACAACAACAGTGGACAGATAGGAGCACATGGAACAGTGCAATGGAAGTTGAAAGAGAAAAAAAGGAAAAAGAGAAAAATTCTGCATAATTAGAAACTGCAGTGGCAAAGCAAAACGTATTGTAGAAAGCAACATAAGATAACAGGGAAGTTTGCTTCCCTATATTAAGGCTACCAACTCTATCACAAAATAGAGAATCTCTGGTGGCCTTCAGGGGCATTGCTCCACAAGTTTCTGGCTGTGAGACACTGTTTTTCAGGCTGGGTTCCCATGAACAGTTGGGAGTGCTGCTAGTGTACCAGCCTCCCTGCTGCATGGTAGCCTCCCTGCCTGAGCTGTTGGAGGCCATCTCGGGGCTGGCGGTAGAGTTCCCCAGACTTATGGTTCTGGGGGACTTCAACCTGCTGTCCCTGGGATGGACCTCGGAGGCAGCTTGGGAGTTCATAGCCACCATGGTGGCCTTGGGCCTGTCTCAAATTGTGCGGGACCCAACCCGAGACAATGGCCACATTGGCTGCATTTGGTCTTGTCAGAGCAATGGCAAAGTGATCTGAAGGGAGATTTACAGCTTTTCCCTTTGTCATGGTCAGATCACGGCCTGGTGACCCTGAGTTTCTCCTATGCCACCCCCTCCACAGGGAGGCAGGACCCATGCCACTGGTCTGCCCCCAGCACCTGATGGACCCATCAGGATTTCAGAGGGAGCTGGGGGGTATTCCCGTGGATCTGCTGCATGGTCCAGCAGAGGCCTTGGGTGCCACCTGGAATAGGGAGGCGGCTGGGGCCTTGGACAGGATCACGCCTAAGCGACCTCTCTTGCCACATTGGCCCCGACACTCCCCATGGTTTACGGAGGAGTTGAGGGTTCTGAAGAGACGTCTAGAGTGCCGCTGGAGGAAGACAAAGACTGAATCCGACCGAACACGTTAGAGCTGCTATCAAGGCCTACATTGTGGCGATAAAAGTGGCAAAGCGCCAATACTTCTCTGCCCTTATCACATCCGCAGAGTGCCACCCGGCGGCCCTGTTTGGGATCACTAGATCCCTCCTCGGTAAGGGGGATCTGGAGATTCATTTGCAAGGCCGCATGGAGGAATTCTCAGAGCACCTGCAGGATAAAATCACTCGGATTCATTCCAAGTTAGGCTCCGAGCGTGGCGCAGGGTCTGGGGAGATACCAGGGGATTGTCCTTGCCTAGTTATCTGGGAACGGTTTGATCCTGTTGTTCCTGAGGAAGTGGACAGGATC